AATGATTTCTTGATCGTGTTTATTGTTGTGTTGCCTCCTGATCCACGCTGATCTTACTGAGATGATCGCGGTGGATCGTGCCCGCTGACTAATCCCAGAATCCGGGTGCTCTGCCTATACCCGGCCTCTACTAACCACCTGCTATGTACCCATAATCTGACACTACTATAGCTTCTTAATATTCTAGCTGCCGCCGTCCTTGTTCCTCTTACCCAGGACTTGGTCTATCTTGTAGCTTGTAACTAGAATGTCAGCTTTGATACTAAAGGTTTGCTTCTAACTATTTTACTCAACAAGAAATTTTATCCAATTTACATCAGCTTTCAAGCTCTTTACTTGCGTTCTTAAGGCCTGATCGCTCTCCTCCTTTTACAACACTAAGTTGCGTTTGCTAGTCTTCTGCCTCATCAGTCAGTAATCTGAGACCGACCGTGATTGATTGCATTAATAGTGATGGTAGATGTTGCAAACTGCGCAGCTGTCGGAAGCATAAACTTTGTTAGTAGTGCCACTGTCAGATTGCGATGGGTTATCAAGGTCAATAAATTGATGGTGAAAGTGGATTTTTTTCTTGTTTTCCCAGAGACGCGCCCGCGCGTCTCTTGTGGATGGCATGTTACTTGTTACACTTTGGGGCCTCTATTTTTTCAGTCTGGGCTTTAGGGAGGTAGCCATGTCACCAAGGCTCTGACTAGCTGTATACAGAATCCTAGTGCTCCAATCCACACCCATATTCTGCGACTTCCGCTGCTACTCATTTGACAGAAGGAGGGGGAGGACTATGGCACCCCGGCCTCAAGGAAGTATCCAGTACTTTCAAGGAGCAGGTGGGCAGTTATATGTACAGAAATGGATCTACTTCATCATTTTACACAGGGGCAGGTGCTGGAAACTTAGTTGCTTCTAAATGCTGCTACTCCTACGGCTAATCAGCACGTTGTCCAGGGTTGAATAGCATGTCTACAAGCATAGTGCCGCTAAATTTCCTATTAGTATTCAAACATAGCCATCACCTCAATGCTTGCCTGCTATTAGTGCATGTTGTAAATCAACACTTCATACCAGCAACAAAATCCCTCCTGTAATTGACTGTGATCTATATGCTATCCCATATCTCGTCAAGCCTAGAGTGATATCCTTACCCTAAGGTGCATACCTAAGTACAGAGATGATATCCTGCCTAGTGTAGCGAGAAACTCAATGGGTCGAGAAGAGCTAATGAGGTGCAACACCTTGTTGCAGAACTTGTCATCCTTACACTATCATCGGTCGTTCTTGGCTCACCGGGTGTCTCGTTGCATAGGGACGAATGTTACACTACGTCGTGAGACAGGCTCACGCTCCAGACATCCGGACATGCTTCCTATCAAACTTGAAGAGGTCTAAAAAAAGCTTTAAAACTCTCTATCGACCATCTGTCAAGTCGAGTCGTCTCCGACAGGGATTGCTGCGGTGCTGGGCTTGGTTATTGATCATCTCGACGGCGTCGTCAATCGACTCTTCAACAGCACCCCCTGTCTGTTGGGCGTCATGAGGAATAATCGACCATTCTGAGAGTGGTAGAGTGAGCATAAGGAACAAAGATGGCTTGCCTAGGCTTATAATCCCACTCTAGCATGGCAGCAAGCATGCCGCGAGCCCTGCATTCAAAACGCGTTTTGATTGGCTCTTTCTTGGAAGGCGCCCATCAGGCGCTAGCAGGGTGCAGCTACGCACATGATCTCGACCCACTCACTTACTTGTCTGTGTTACCCCACAAACGGCAAATTTTGTTCGCGTCATCGCGCTGTCATCGAACCGTACTTCTCAACGTCGTTTTACACTACGTTTACACCATTTCCATTGTTCTCAAGATGGCGGATCCAATCAGCGCGGCATCGGCCATTATTACGCTAGTCACCTTCGGTATTCAGTCGAGCTCCATGTTGTATCAGACCTTCAAAGAATTCAACAGTCATCATAAACATGTAAGAGAGCTGAAGACAGAATTGGATGCACTGAGTTTAGTATTGGCGTCTATACACCAAGCTATCCTAGATAATGAGGCAGACTTCACACCTTTGAAACTTCCTCTCTTCAGATGTGGAAGTGCTTGTATAGAATTCAACATGGTTATCAGAGATGCCACTAAGCAATCTCATGGTTCTCTAGCAAGTTTTCGAGATTGGGCAAAACTGAAATATCTGGGTGACGATATCGACGGGTTCAAAGCCTTACTGGCTAACTACAAGTCTACAATCACTATCGCTCTCTGTGATGCGAACTTGTAAGTGAACATTGATATGTTACGAACAAGGCTAATCTCTTATACGACAGGCGAAAAGCTACCATCACAGCCAAGGCACTCAACGAATATCAAGAGCTGATAGAAAACACGGTGTCGGATCTCGAAGATAGCCTGCAGAGGATTGACAGCAAGCTACAACATCTTGTCGCTGGCGGCTCAAGTGGTTGTCAGACGAACTCCGACCAACAAAAAATCCAGCTCGAGCGTGATAGCATACAGAAATGTCTCGATATATGCGCCGAAATGTCATCGCATATCGAAAAAGGGCAGTCAAATGTGTCTCAAAGCATGCTCACATTCACAGAAGAGTATAACAGTCAGACCGACGTTGACAGCTCTGCCAATTCAGCCCGACGAGCTACAATCACCGTCCTAGACGATTGTAAGGAGAGGCTTGCCTATACATCGTCGCAGCTCAGAATACATCTTGCGGACGTTCTTCGCCGTTTAGACGCTTTTCAGGGCCAGACCTTTGTTCATCCAAACTCCAACGAACAAGACAAAATGCGAGAAGAAATTAACAGCATCAAACGGAGCCTAGCAGTTTGCGCTAAAGCTTCTGAAGACGCATCCGCGGAGCGAGTCAACATGTTCGATGAAGTGTCGCTTGGAGAAGATGGTCACCAAGTTATCGTGTCAACAGTCGGGGATTTGATTAACGCTCGACGAGTTTCGGCTGGTGCAAGGTCTACACAGTTGCTAGGGCAAATGTCTGATTCTACGCTTCAGGCGATTGGGCAGCGTCAAAGTCATGTCATTTCGAAACAGAGCCCGTTGCAGCAGGAAGATAGTGCGTCCTCTAGTAACTAGCGTAATTCAATTCCCAGGAAAGACAATATAAGAGTGCATAGCCATACGGAACGGAATGCGTTCATAAAGAAGATAAGCTAACCGTGCTTTCTATAAGACCTGAAGAAATAACGGTAAAAGGGTTCCGTCAGTACAGGAAGAGTGAGCAGCTACAGTTAGATGCCGCCTTTAACGCGAAGCAATGGGAGCAGTTCGTTACATAGCTTCCTTGGCATGCTAAAATAACCGCCGGCCGTCCTAAGCGAGACTAGCAGCGCTTATCCAACCGGCGACATGGACCAATCGATTATGCAGTTCGTACGCCTTGTGACGCGATGCACTTGATCGAAAGCCTATTTAACCTAACTTCGGTCCCATAGATCATCGTCCAATACGTTCAACTTATCGCCACACCTATCATTGCGATGGCTGAGCCTATAGGCCTTGCTTCTGGTGTCTTGACGTTAGTCATTTTCGCCCACAAATCATGCCTTACGCTTTACAAAACGATACAGAGCTTCAAAGCCCATCCTAAACGAGTGCGCAATCTTATCGAAGAGCTAGAAGCTCTCATTGGCGTTTTAGAATCATTAAGCGACACGATGAAGCTGCACACAGATGTAGATGTCCCCGCACTTGATCTACCTTTGCGCCGATGTGGCAGCGCTTGCGACGAGTTTTTACAGGAGCTCCAGAAGTGTTGCTCGCGATCTGGGGGCGATCGACAAAGCTTTCGGGACTGGGCCAAGCTGAGGTACATGGGTGACGACATCGATGATTTTACGGATTCACTGGCAGCATACAAGTCAACAATCAATATCGCGCTCACAGATATGCAGCTGTAAGTTTCATAGCTCCATACCCGACCTCGTACGCTAGAAATAACCAATCTCCTTTAGTCGCAAGTCTTCCGTTACTCTAGAGCATCTTGGAGACTACAAAGATCTTATCACAACTGCAACAAGCGATCTTGAGGCGCGGCTCGATACTATTGATGGAAAGCTCCAATCTTTAGTAGAGCGTACTACGTCAAGCTCAGCAACAACAGAACTTCAAAGCTTAAAGGACGAGCGCTCAAGCACACAAAAATGCCTCCTGATTTGCGCTGAGTTCTCTAAGCTTATCCAGAAGCTTCAATCGTCATCAGCAAAGGATCTTCCCCAAGACTTACATAACATACCCGAGAGGATCACGAGCGATGGCATACGAGAATGCAGGATTAGTATGGAGCAAACAACTGCAAGGTTGGAAACTCACATGCAGGATATCTTAGATCGAATCATGGTCAGCTCAAGTGTAACAATGCCACAAGAAGATACAAGAAACCTTGCAAGATTGCGCGAAGAATGGACAAGCGCTCGTAAATGCAGGGATATTTGTTTCCAAGCAGACCAGCACTTGAAAGAGAACGTAAGCGTTATCGACAACTATGCTACAGGCGACGAAGCCGTGCAATTTCTGGTATCAAACAGCCAAAAGACAATACATGGCAAGAATCGTGGATACGGGGACCTGATCAAACAACTCGGTGGTCATCTCAGCGACCAGTCCATTCAGAAAGTATCTGGAGACTTTTTACAGATGAGTATTCAAAGATCTGTACATGGAAATCTAGGTAACGCGGTACCCTACGCCAAAGATATGAATGAGAAAGGAATGAACTGGCGGCCAGAATACGGTGGAGGAAGGACACTCAAGTCTCAGCCTGTTGCAAGTGACTCAAGTGGTCAAGCGGACCTAGGTAAAGCCAAGTTCTGACGCTTGATAACGATGTTGTTCTATAATCTTGGAGCGAGTTGCAGGGCCTGCACCTCTGGTTATACAAATTTGCACTAACTAGTGAATGTGTGTACTAGACGTCAAGCTTCTTCATCCTCTGCGCAGCCTCTGCCTCAAGCCTATGCTGCAACCCTTGTATTATTATTATTATTATTT